GCTGGATTATGAGTGGAAGGTGAGAGGAAGAGTCTTGTAAAAACAGATCTTAAAGTTGCTTTGTTTTTTTATTGTCACAATGAAGTCAAATATTAAACGCTAAAAACTTTTACTATCCTGTAAAAGAGGGAGTTTCATAGTGTCATCGTGTTTTTAACCTTTATAACTCTTTCAGGTTGTGAATCCATATTATCTACGCGTGAGAAGGAAGAATCCTATTACTGGCATGCAAACCAAAATGAGCCTTCAACTCTACCAGGTGGACAGTAGAACCTACCTCCTAGACTTCCGTAGCATAGATGGTAAGTTTCCCGTTGGATTCTCAAAATCTTTAAAAAGTGGATAATTGATTGAATTACTTGATAAACCACATAGTTTTAAAATGATTTTGAAATGAACAGCTGTTCAGTTGGTCTTTAATGTGGTTTCTGTAATTTAATCCGTTGTCATTTCATGAAGTTTAGCTCCCTGTGTTTTGTGTTTACATGAATACAGTCCTGTAGTAATCTGCGTCAGTGCAGACTTGATAAATGATTGACTCAGGGTTGAGAGCACAGGCTTTTTGCACAGTCTGTGTAGGTGTGCAGCGGAACCTCAAAGGAAACGATCAGATAAGAGTTGTTGTTATAGGCCACTTGCACAGCTCCGGCATGCTGTGCAAAGGGTAGCAGACTCAATTTCCACTGCAGGCTTTTACCAAAGACCGCCACTGTGTTCATGTTTGGCTGCAGCTGTAACAGATAACCACAAAGAATCACAGTTGAAACATTAGACTTTTTTTGTGGTCATCAAATAAAATGTGACACACTTAAAGAGCTTTTCTAGAACACCTGTAATAAGATGTATTCCCTCTTTCAGGGTAAAACTGGTCAGAAAACACACATTATGTCTCCAACTATGTACACAAATTTAAAGATAATAATATCAGACTTTCAATAATTGCCAGCAGTTAATTATTAATTTAAATCTGTCATGAGCAGATCCTGATGGTTAGTATGGGGACCGATCTGGAGCTTTTTAATTGGATGTTTTTTGTTAGAAAGGAAGCAGATTAAAAACATATCCTGTCTTTTTTTTTCAATGTGTGTTAAACCTCATCTAGCATCGTATGTGATGCAGTGATGAAATGCTGGTCTTCGTTACCACAGCCAGTCTCTACAATGCTTGTGCTGGTCAACGTGTGCATGCACTTTGTGTCAACTGTTTGGCACTCTGGATAAGACAGAGAGGTTGGAAAATGGCACAGATTTGCTAAGATTCAATGTTGATTGTCATTAAAAAAAAAGTGTATCAAGCAAACCCTGTGCAAGCCAAAAAAATAGTAGGCCCATTATCCCAAATATAGCTTTCATCAATCCACGGTTGCAACAAATTGACGTTCTTCTCAAACCAGACCTGCAGAAACTCTGGTTATAGACAGTGATATACAAGAAATCAACCTTTTTGTATATATATCTTACAGAATATATTTTTTGTGTCTTTTGTCATTCAGACGATATGTTGGAGACAAAATCTGGAACTGCTACCCCTCTCCGCTCTGGATCTGTGGGCAACTACCGCACCACTATAAAGAATGACGTAGACGGTGCAGACGCTCCTGCTATGTCTAGCACTGTGCACACTACCAAGGCTGCAGAGGGCTCCTTAGCTTCATCGCTGACCTCATCCATCGACTCAATAGGTGGGGGAGACAACGCGCCTGTCCCTCGACCGGGAAGCCACACCATCGAGTTCTTTGAGATGTGTGCAAATCTTATTAAATTACTTGCACGATAGCTTGCAAAACAATCGCTAGCCTTTTTTTCCTCTCCGAGTGTCTTTATAGCAATAAGCATGCAACCGATTCATGGCTCAAGTCATCCCGGCTGAGGGTGAAGTGATTGTTCCATGGCACTGATGCAGGTTAGTGGTCCCTAAGCGGAAGATATGTTGCTGAGCTGGCAGGGAATGTAAGGGTTCACTAGGAAAGATGAACGACCAAGCTACTTAAAATCAAGGACAGAACAACATTTAAAAACGGGGTTTTACAATTTTTTAACGGTTTAAAAAGCAAGAGTCCACAACCCAACTATACTTAATATACGTACAAGTGATTACACTGAATTTCCTGTACTATAGCCAGTGAGCTCTACTTTCCAGTTCAGAGAACATGATCAAGTTTCTGCCTGCAGAGAGGGAAGCGGCACGTCGAGGGTTAGGTATTTGGGTGGCAGTCCTATAGGATGCAGGAAGCACTTTTGCACAAGTATCCTTAATTTCCTGCTGCCCTTGTATTTGTCTCAGTATGCATCAAGAAAGTGGTGCAGATGTATCGGGGCGCTGCACTGGCTATAACTAAGGGGTTTTCATGCCCGTCACGTTCATTTGACACTGAAGAAGTGCGATGACCCTCGTTGTTTCTGTCTTGTGTCAGAGACAAAAGAATGCTTCATCTGATATTTGTTTGGTTTTCATTTTGTGATGAATCTGAGTTGTCAGAGACTAAATTGTCATGGTTTTGTCCTTGTTGTAAAAAATCTGTTTGAATATGTCTGTCCCTTACATTTTTATATATAAAGACGTGAATATATTTATCAGTGCGTTAAGTGGACGCAGTGTTGGTTCTATTGGAATGGAATTGTTTGTTTTCTTTATTGCATTAAGATCTATTGCTGGATGGTATATATTTTCCTTTTTTTACTGTCTGGTTTTTAAATCAATATCAAAGTTTTGTTTCCTTCAATCACAACTATTCTGATACTTGATTGTCTTTCCAGATAAAATATAACCTGCTTTTACTGTTTAGGAGGAATTTTTGCCATGACAGTCAAAATCTAGATATATATCATTTTCAGTGTCACATATTAAAATGACAAGTTGATTTTGACTTATTTTGTTGCATTTTCTGTTTGTTGTTTTATTTTAGAAGAAGAATTACGATTTGAGTGTGATTCCTGAGTGAACTGCCTTTTGCCTACTTTTCCGTTTTGTAAATGCCAACCCATCACAAGTGTATAGGCCTCAGGGCCCAATTTCAACATGAGTCGTAGCAATTACATGCAGTGCATGGACAATGTCAATTGGCAGGTGAATGCATCTAAAGTGTCATGGATCTGTTTTTGTTCCACATTCCACATTCATTCGGAGGTGAACCTTTAAAAGGTTTATAAACGGTCTGTGAGCTTGAAATGGTCTCTATGTAAATCTCAACTCTGAAAAAGAAAAAAAACATCACATCACATCATGTATTGAGATCATAATTGTGTGGCTGGGTTATATTCGAAAAAAAAAATTGTCCAATAGAATCTGATGCTTTTAAGCTCATGAAATCTTGAGTTATGTCTTGAATCACAAACATGACATGTCTCACCTCATTCCCTGTCCAGTCTTAAAGTTTAAAGTGGTGTCTGTTGTTTGGCTGCCTTATCATTCAGTACTGTTCATCGGTTTTTATGTCCATGAAGGTTGGAATTCAGTTCTGGTCAAAGTTATCAGGACCTTTTGCAGTTTTAGGGTTCAAAATTGACAAATTATGTTGTTAGTGTTGTTGATTCATTCTTATCATCTGTAAGGAATTTGAGATTATTTTAAGTGCTGGCATTACAAAAAAAAAAAAATCATAGTTGCACAGCTGAAGATAACCATGATGATTCTATATTATTTTTTTGCCAAACTATAGAAGACCTCAGTAACTGCTAGGACCTTTAACTAAAGGAATAGGAATAAACAAAGAAAACGTTTAAGGTTGCTTTTATCAATCTCTACCATCTGGTCAATTAAGCCCAGTTTTAAGAATCTTTGTATTTTCTCATCTTATCATTGGAGACCAAGTCATTATTCTTAGTTGGAGGTTGCAGTTGCTGAGGTCAAGGTTTCCAGTGTTTAGCTCTCTGCAGCTTTAAAAAAAAAAAAACTTAAATATCTCATTTGTATAAAAAAAAAAAATCATTTTTTTAGAGATATAATACGACAAAAATAAGTGACAATTTTTGTGACCACCTTGTTTCTCTTGTCTTGAGAGGCAGGTTTGGACTGAAATAAACTTGAGTTTTTGAATTACATTGATCATGGTACAGAAACACTATGGTCATGGAAAGATATTGCTAAAACTTAATAGTTTTAGTTTTTGTAAGGGCAGTTGCAACTGTTTACATAACTTTTCATGGGTTACATGATGGGTTTTGTAGGAAAGATGAATGTTTGGACCATGACTTTTTTTTGAAAGCTTATGGAGTAGTGTCCGAGTGGACTGTCAGTCTGTCTGAACTGCTTTAAAGAAATATTGTTCTATTTTTGTTTGGTGTGTAAAGGGACCCTACTACATTGACCAGTGTAAATCTGAATGGACAGTGTTGAAATCATTTGTATACACAACTGCCTAATAAACTGCTAAATTGCACACAATTTTCTGAGGTTTCTCTGCATGTCACTGGTTTTGTCACTTATAGTCTCATATCATTTACATCACAGGCTCGTTGCCAGGAAACTTCATGCCGTCATGTAGTCTCACTGCATTTACACTGCATGGGTTATTATGTGATAAATCAACAAATAGTTAAAAGGTTTATTCAGTCTTTTACAAGGAGTCATATTTTCTTCAGCTATTCACCTCATTTTAAAAACAATTGATCATAGGCTGATCTTTAAATGATACATTTGATCATACTGTACGTCACAAACCTGTGATGTTTAATTAAATCATATTTTTTATGGGACACAAATCATGTAGGAAGGAGGCTTCATTAGGACATTGTCCTTAGTTATCCCTTTAGCGCCATCTGGTGAGCAAACTCGAGAGTTTATTATTCCCGACTTTTAATTTCAGAACCGCCTCTCCTGCACATTATTTATCAGTGCAATATGTTTGGTTTAACGTATAAAATATCTAAATATTTTATTGAAGTATTTTCACATGACTGTATCTCAAGTCTAAATTAAAATAAATTAAAATGAAAAAAAAAACAAAAAAACGTTTCATGCTCATGACAAGACAACGTCAACATTTCAACTACTTCCGGGTCACCAAACATGGCGAACCAGTAACTTCTGTTAGCTTGTGTACATTTGCTCGCAAAAAAAGCTAGTGTGTAAGTCTGTGCAGTACACGGACCTAATTAGCTAAGCTGCGTGAGTATCTCATTGTTACGTGATGCAAATGATTTAGCCGTGGTGTTTGTACATTTCTAACATCCGCGCTCTCTCTCGTTTCTGCAGGATGGCTTCGTTTGGCTGGAAGAGGAAAGTAGGCGAGAAGGTTTCAAAGTCGGTGGTGAAGACCTTCGAGGCTGAGGAAGAGAAGCAGAAGGCTGGAGATGTTGGACCGGGTCGGGATGAGGAGGAGGAGGTGGACTGGCTGCACGCCATCAAACGGCGGCGGGAGATCCTGCTGGAGGACTGTGCAGCCAAGAGCAAGAGGCTGAAGGATGAGGCTGCACTGCTCGCTGAGCAAGGCAGGTGAGGGATGCTGTTGTTGATGTGCGTGTTGTTGATGTGCGTGTTGTTGATGTGCGTGTTGTGTATGTGCATGTTGTGTATGTGCGTGTTGTTTATGTGCGTGTTGTTGATGTGCGTGTTGTTGATGTGCGTGTTGTTGATGTGCATGTTGTGTATGTGCATGTTGTTGATGTGCGTGTTGTTGATGTGCGTGTTGTTGATGTGCATGTTGTTGATGTGCGTGTTGTTGATGTGCGTGTTGTTGATGTGCGTGTGCGTGTTGTGCATGTGCATGTTGTGTATGTGCGTGTTGTTGATGTGCGTGTTGTTGATGTGCGTGTTGTTGATGTGCGTGTTGTTGATGTGCGTGTGCGTGTTGTTATGTGCGTGTTGTTGTATGTGCGTGTTGTGTATGTGCATGTTGTTTATGTGCGTGTTGTTGATGTGCGTGTTGTTGATGTGCATGTTGTGTATGTGCATGTTGTTTATGTGCGTGTTGTTGATGTGCGTGTTGTTGATGTGCATGTTGTTGATGTGCGTGTTGTTGATGTGCGTGTGCGTGTTGTGCATGTGCATGTTGTGTATGTGCGTGTTGTGTATGTGCATGTTGTGTATGTGCGTGTTGTTGATGTGCGTGTGCGTGTTGTGAATGTGCATGTTGTGTATGTGCGTGTTGTTGATGTGCGTGTTGTTGATGTGCATGTTGTTGATGTGCATGTTGTGTATGTGCGTGTTGTGTATGTGCGTGTTGTTGATGTGCGTGTTGTGTATGTGCGTGTTGTTGATGTGCGTGTTGTGTATGTGCGTGTTGTTGATGTGCGTGTTGTGTATGTGCGTGTTGTTCATGTGCGTGTTGTTCATGTGCGTGTTGTTGATGTGCGTGTTGTTGATGTGCGTGTTGTTGATGTGCGTGTTGTTGATGTGCGTGTTGTGATGTGCGTGTTGTTGATGTGCGTGTTGTTGATGTGCGTGTTGTTGATGTGCGTGTTGTTGATGTGCGTGTTGTTTATGTGCGTGTTGTTGATGTGCGTGTTGTTGATGTGCATGTTGTTGATGTGCATGCTGAGTGCAAATCATTTGAAGCTGCCAGCAGAAATCCAGCAAACATCTTTGGTCAGTTTTGTAACTTCTGTTAATTGTAATGCACACAGACACACATCATAACGCCACATAGAGATGTTTGCTGCTGTGCGGGTGTCAGAAGTCTTTTTTTCTTGAATCTTTTTCTATCTAAAATTGAAGTTAGCAGAGTGAAATACTTCTAGTTCTTGCTTTGTATAGCTTTTATAGGATTTAAACTTCAATATCAAGGTACATGGAAAAAGTAAAACCTCTCCAAGAGAGGGCGCCAGTGCACAGCCCACTCCACACTCTCAAAAAGCTTTTCTCCTGCCTTGCTTGAAGAGAAAACTGTTAATACATGTGATATTGCAAAGGCAGAGAACAAGTTTCGGCCAGCTGAGTTTGAGGTCGTCCCTGTACGTTTTTGTGCATTAGTGTTTAGTAAAAGACGTCTATATGTTTGGACTTGAAAAGCCAAAGAGCTGCATTCCTCCCAGAATGAGATCATTAAATAGATTTAAGAGCAATACATTGTATTTGGGCGATGGGAGAAGATGTCTTTTAGGCCTGTCAACTTGTATTTAATATTTAGGGTAAAAAAAATAAAATTATAGAGCTATTACTATTAAAGACTTTCAAACACAGAGTGATACATTACTCCTACAATCTCCTCTGGCACCCGTGATTTGTGGAGGGTTTATGTTAAGATGAAGAATTGTAACCAGTGTTATTACTTGAGGGGATATTGCTATGCCTGTGTATTTGGAAAGACTTCTAGCTCCACTCTTTTTGGACTATTACAAAAATCTCAGCTGCCTCAGAATGTATTTTCCTATTTCTAATAGTCACAGATGTAAGAAAAAAATAGGCCTCCTTCCCAAACTGCTACCTGATATGCGCTTTAAGGTAATTGACCTTTTCAGCCAAATAACCAGCACTTTGTGGACCCCGCTCCCACCAGTCCAAGAGAGTTATGCTGTTCCCCTCGCTGCCTGTAATTGCGTTTGCAGGGGAAACTGGATTTTGCTGGGGAAATGATGTCTTTCAGTGTGCTGTGCGTAATGACTGTTCAGGGGTTTGAGATGGTGTCTGGTTGGGTCTGCCCGTCATTACCGTTACGTTTAGATGCTGCTGATGTCATTGGAAGAGCTCCTCTATGACCTCCTTGTGAGCTACATCTCGTCTTTAGTCACATCGTGGTGTACGTAAGGGTTTTCCAACTTCTTTTAGGTTAATAGATAGTGTTTGTTACGTAAGGTTGTAAGGTCTAGGTGTTTGTTCTGCCCTGTGAGTCTGCCTTCTCACTGTAAACAATAGGGTTATGGTGCAAGAAAGCCAAACAGGTAGACAGGTGTATAACCTGTTGTACCTCCTTCAGTCAATTGTTAGTGGATTTTGTTGTGGGTTTCTTTTAACCTGATTTAGCCTTTTGGAACGATACAGAAGAATATGTAATCTTCATACAGACGCACGCTAAACCTATTCTGTTCAATCAGCCTTATGTTGCCATGCAGAGTCGAACATTAAGAAGGAAGGCAGACTAAACTGTCATTGTTGTTTATGCATGAATGGGCATGGTGACTATTTCTATTCATAAAGTGCACAGGTTGAATGGCTGTTTGACTGAGAATTGAGTGAGTTGAACAAACTAAAAGAAACATAATATACAAAGCAGATTGAATTAAACAAACGTCATGATATTTAATAACAGAGGGGAAAGCGTTGACGCTTCATTTAGTGTGGAAGGTATCTAATTTCATAGAGAAAAGGAAACATAGTTTTTTAGGTGCCATGAAAATCTGAGCTGGAAATCACATATAAATAACATTAAAAGTGAAAATATCAAACATGATTGCTCTGTAACACAAATTAAAGGATTCATTAGATAATAAAGTATTGTACATTTTATGTAAGTCAACAAGTGTTCCATATACGGCCTACTGTGTTGAAGTGCTTGTAGAATATATACTTGTTCAATTTTCATTCTCTAAAAAAGAGCCATAAGAACCACCAGTAGATGTCGGTATAGAGATTCATCAAATCCCTTCTTCATTCAGATAAAGTTGCTGACATTTCATTAATTAATAGCAGTGTTCTGCAAATAATGTACAAAGGTCATGAGAAAAACTTTGCTGACCAACATGCAGAAAGGATCTGAAAAAAAGAGAAAGACATTTAAACCTGAAAGTAGCAGAGATCTTTAAGAAAAAATCAAATGAAATTCAGAACCAAATTATGGGGAACGTTGTGTTAACTGTGAAAAGATTTCAGATTGTGGAACAGTGTTCACAGAGAAACCAAAGAATCTCGATTAAAAATGATATATATACAAAAAAAGATTAAAGCCATTATGTTGAGGAAATGAGATGAAATGTGGTAATGTTCAGTTGAATTTATTTATTTTAGTTTAATTTGTACAATATTAAACATAAATGTTGACAATTGATGCATTGTACCAGAGTTAGCTTAGAGCTAGTTTACATCTGGAGTCCCTCGTCAGCTCAAAATTAAAACATCACACAGTAATAAAACATTGTGCATAAAAAAAAAAAACTGTACATCAAACATAGCAGAGTATCCCAGAGCAGTACAACACACACACACACACACACACACACACACACACACACACATATGCACGCACACATTAAAAATCTTTAGGCCTTTAAACTTTTTGAAAGCCATGAAGCAGCTACTTTCTCTGTACATTTGTCTTTTCAAACTTAAACGAAGAGTGTGCGACTTTTTGATCTAGCATGAAGCCAAAACTTGCTGTTTGGCAGCACCTCCAACCGCGATCTGCAGTTGCCTGTGGCTTGCATTGTTGTGTTAGCAGGCCATTGTTAGCCCTCTTTATTTAGCTCATAGATTAAGATTGCATGTTAATTTGCACAGACTGTCCGTGATCTTAAAAATTCTTACATGACATAGAGCTTTTGTATGCAAGGGGAAAAGTCGGCCTTCCTGTCCGTGTAAACACAGCTCCAACAACAACAACACAGCCAGCAGGACTCACGCTTCTCACTCATTGTGAACAGTCAAGACTCAGAGAGACATTTACACAGGATATACTTGATTTTTTCTATATTTATGTGTAAATTGTTGCACATTCTTCCTCGAAAGGATGATTTAAGGTTCTCATTTTTTCACTTAGACATTCACTTAAACCTGTCCAAAAAATGGCAAAAGACGATGCAAATGTTCCTTAGTCATCCTATAATTCCACATAAATAAAGGGCAGGTAGTTGCATAATTATGTCTCACTTAATGTTTTTAACAGCTGGTTGTTTTGGGAGATGTGGGAGGCAGTAAGTCCCATATCATCCAAATACACTGCATAGTTTACGAATTCAGTGTTTCCCCTCCCATTTTTTTTTTAAAATTTTTTGGGGGGCTTTTTGTGCCTTTTATTGTAGAGATATGATAGTGGATAGAGTCGTAAATCAGGGAAAGAAGTCATTTAAGGATACCTTTCCGATAGAAAAGGACAGCTGTCATTAAAAGTTACCCATGAACACCAAGATTCCTTCAAGTGTTTGTGTCAGCGTGTCCCCCCACCCCCCCCAACGCTGTAAACGTAGGGGAAACACTGTAATTTGTTTGGCTTCCAGCTGCCATGCTGAGTCAGTGTCTACAAACTATTTTAATTACAACAACAACTATTCTGTGTCCTCCCGTCATCGCTCCCTCTTTTCTTTTCTTTGACTGACATAGATGTTAGAGTTTTGGTTCTCAAGCTTCCTTTGTTGTACTTGAGATTGCTTCATATCCTCACATGATTCTGTCCTTTTCTTAATCTGATGGTAAGGTTTCCACACTGCTCTGCTTCAATTTCCTCACTTCTCTCTTTGACTGATATGTAACTTCAGGTTATCGAAGTCTTGATCCAGGTTCCGTGTTTTCTAAACGACTAGTGTTAATGGCCTCATTGTGTTGCTTTAAATTTGTTCAGGATATCCTTCTCTATAAAGCCATAAAAGATTCAGACAGACAAACACATTGTCAAACCCGAGGTTTTAGCTCATAATCTTTCAGAGTATTTGTCCTGATCAGGCTATCAAAGGGAATTCTTGAGTCAATATTGACTTGAGGAGGAGTGGGTTACTGGAGTGAGCGTGCCCATATTAATCAGTCCTTCCCTTTCAGGAAAACAGAAGGACCCTGGTAAACAAATCTATGCAAAACGGATCGACAGGCTTTAGTGGTACCGGCTGCTTGAACGTAGTCCACAGTGGTGCTTCATGGGACTTCTGCTCACTGTTTATTTTTTTCTTTTTGCAAGACTGAAAAAGAGCTAATAGACAATTTCAGTCTTTCCAGCTCAGATTGAGATTGAAGGTTTTTATGGCGCTGGGAACAGTTTGATTTGCAACCTCTTTGCAAGTCTCCTCAGTGAACCTACGTGTGTTTATTCAGCTCGTATTTTTTGTGCTGCCATGCTGTCAGATAGGTGGACAGGCTGCTGAAAGGCGTCAAGCAGCCAGTGTGGCACCATCTCCTAGAAGAAATGTCTCTCATCTCAATGCTCAATGAATTGTGTTGAACACTTTTTATTTGAGTCAACAAACATACAAAGTAACTAAAATGTGCAAAAAAAATATGACAAGGTTAGTAAAGCTATAACTTGAATATAACTCAGTCACATTCTTAGCTTTTTGAGAAGTTGAATGAAAGAAGGGTTGGTAGGAGTTGTCCAAAACCACAGACTTCTCTATACTCAGAAAACAAGCTGAGAAACCAGCTCCACGTTATCTGCTGAGCAAACATGTGGCTCAGTATTAAGTTACATAAGGTATATGAAATCTCAGGGTGTAGACAATGGAACCGATCGTCCAATTACAGTGCGATATGTGATCATCTGTTTGAATCTGTCATGCTTTACCGCCGTGTTATCTAAAAAATTGAACATCAGCCAAAGCCAATATCAAGCTGTGTTGAAGTTGATGAAGTGCAACATGTCCGTGGAGGGTGTTGACAACTTGAAATAGTAGACAAACATTATGCATGATCAATAATTCACGTAAGGGGCTGGCTAAGAAGTTAATCACTGCACAGCTTCCCGGGTGTTCAGCGGTACCAGCTGCATTGTTTATGATGCAATTAACACTTTTTATGTGCTCGACAATCTGTTATCTGTTCTAGAATAAGTGTTTGAACCACTGTGTGTTTACTTTAGGCACTGGGAGGCCGTAAAGAAGTGGGACGATGCCATTCAGCTGACTCCAGACAACCCAGAACTCTATGAGATGAAGTCACAGGTATATTACAAGCTGTCATTAATACTTTTTTTAATAGTCTCACATAATTATTACATACAAACCTTTCCCCCCTGAATACAGTTTTATAGTTTATATCTGCGATACCTTCCTTGATATGTTTTTTTTTAAATGTCACATATTATGTAAAATACACTTAACCATGTTTTTTTTTTACACTAGTATGTGTCCCTTGCCTGTCTACAAAAGTCCACCCTCAGTATTTTGCCTGCTTCACTTTTCAAAAAAATGTGTGCTCAAACAGACAGTTTGGAGATTTTCCCTTTGTGGCATCACAAAGGGCAGTAACCCCTCCCCCAGGTGGGTGACACTCCCACAGCTAGGTGTTACTTGTGCCCTCTGAGTCCGTCTTCTCACCGTAATCAATCAGGCATGGAGTGAGAAAGCCTGAGGCACATCCCCTTCTAGAGAGGTCAGACACAGCTCATTTGCATTAAAGCTACAGACACAGAAACAGCTTGTTTTGAGCAGGGCTGAAATAGAGGGATTTATAGGCATGATAAAATACAGGATCAGAGTGGGTACATAACTATACACTGCACAGACATGTTTTGGGAGCTCATTGACTTATTTTACTTGTTGAAAAGGAGGATAATATGTGATCTTGAAAACCGGACAGCTGTGTTGGAAAATGGGACATCGACCCACCCTTTAAACAGAATGTGGTGTGTTTAAGTTTAATTTCTCTTAGACTTATTATTATCACCCTGTTTGTACTTTGAAATAGTAAATTTGTCTCCATACCGGCCCTAAAAATCAAATTTCTTATCATGATTGACATATTCATTGTAGCTCCCACTGAAGCTGCCTAACTTTATCTAACCAGGAAGTCATTTAAGATTAAAATCTCCTCTTTAAAGTAGCCCTGCAAAGAAGAGAAGACAGTAGAAGGCACGCATCACAGGAATGACACAAATAAATAATCGAGCGTTTCAAAACAAACAAAGCACAAGAGAAAAATGTGAGCCTCTGCTTTAAGCTGCAGTTCTCTGGGTAATGTGGTTGAATTGGCCTTTTAACCACATGGCAGATACACAGTATGTGATTGCTGTTTCCCAGAACATGACTGTCCAGACATGGCTAAAATGTGACGCACTTCAACAACTCTCTCATACAGAGTAGCTTTTCATCGGGGTAGAGAGATGTATACCAGGTGGTCCTTCATTCAGGATACCCAAGAACATAGTAGCCCAACACGTTCTGCGTCATGACAGTTAAAAGATAACGCGGCATATATTCTGTTCATATCTGTTGGTTTGGAAATTCTCCCGACCACCAGAACATTGTGTATGCACTTTCAGTACACTCTCACATATCTCTGCTTGTGTGTATTTATCAGCCATCATCACCATAAAAAAAATCCCCTTTCAACTTCCACTGCTATGCTTTTAAGCTTTTAAGTGATATCAGCACAATTACAACACCACTGAAAGTCTGTAGCTTTTATATTTTGACTCAGTGTGCTTCTTTGTTTCTCTTCCTCTTCCTTTAGGGTCGATATGTGTTTTTTGAGCCTTTTTCCCAACCTCTTATTCATCCATTATTTCTAAACTGTAGCTTCTTCTTTTCTCTTAGCAAATGCAGCTTTTGAAAAATGGTTCCCATAGATCTGTGAGAAAGTGGAGCAGCCAGAGGATGCAGACATACCTCCCTGTCAATTATTGGTCAGTCATTTACTACAACTAACCCAATAAAAAAAAAAAAAAAACTCTTCCCATAGCAGTAACCATTCATATCATGTGCAGCGTTGTAAGCCTAATATAATATCATCCATTATTGGATATTTGAGAAGGAAGTCATTATTGTCCGGGCCTGGAGAACACCACCGCAAAAAGCCATTTTTTTCCCTCCTTGCCATGATTTACTCGAAGCATGACATAAGCATAGGCTTCTGTTTTGACTTATTCAGCACCGATATGTTTGACTACGCATGGACATCACAGCTACTCCATTAGTGTCCACTACTGTGGCTGAAAATAAGCTGGCTCTCATCGTCGTATTCTCATTAGTGGCCCCAGATGACGAGGATGCTTACTCTGATGCTGGTCATTCACTTCCCCTCATTCTTCATACTTAACTCAATAAGTAGCGTACCTGATATTGTCTGTCTGTATGTGTCACGGGCAAAATGTAGTGTGCTGCGGGAGTAATTGGAACCATTTGTAAAGCTGTCATCACGTCTTTCTGACGATGTGATGGTTTTAGAACCTGCTGATAGTGGCAATTTATTCCTTTGGTTTATAGAAATGTGTTGCAAACTTGTGAGGTAAATTTTGTTCTTCTGTACATTTAGTGTTTCTCATAATATTCTATTTTTACACGCCTTTCCTTGAGGATTTTCTAGCTGGTGATCAAACAGGCTGAAATGAATACTGATGTCTATATAAGACCTACAAAAGCAAACAGGACCATCAGCAACTAAAGATTGATTATATTTATAAAGTTATTTCTCCTCTGCCATGGGGTAGGTGGTAAATAAGAAGACCAGGGGCGTGTCCAGACGTTTTTGACTGGGGTGGCCTTACTGACTTCTGCAGGGCTCGCCTAAAGTGTGATGTACACACACACACACACACACACACACACACACACACACACACACACACACACACACACATTAATATCAATTATTTACCTTTTCTAACTTCAGCAATAATATACTGTCTACCACAAATAACCATAAATTAACATAAATATCATCTTAGCCCAATTCATTAATGACACAAAAGGAAGATATAAGACTAAATTCACTATTTAAAGTTCTATTTAAAAAAACAAGCAAACTCCTGCACACAGCCTCAACTTACAAAAACACATTAATTGGCGATGTTTTGGTCCCGAAAAAAATGTCCATTTAGTTCATTGTATGCAAGAAAGTGTGCATTACTTTCCCATGCACCTGTTTTATGAATTAGATGTGCAAATTATTTATTTACAATTTAAAATACAAAAACTAAACTAAAAGCTGCCTTTTTACAGAAAAGCCAGAATATATATATATATTTTTTTTCATAAGTCCCACCTCTGACAATGCAAATAGCTAACCACCATTTAAGGATTTTTGGGGTCGTACCCGGGGTGGCCAACCAGACTTTAAGGGGGCCCCGAGCCACCCCCGCACCCCTCTGGACACACTCCTAAAGGAGACTAACTGCACACTGCAGAAAACAAAACTTTTTTTTTTTACATTCCAAGGATTCGATATGTGTTGCACTTAGGACATGTGAAAAAAAAAAGGATGAGATGTTTTTTTCTGAAAACAGAATTTATGTATGTTTAGTACAAAATAGGTAAAGAGCTCGATCATCCTGCTTTGAATACATGGGCACCAAACCAACACAAACTACACACTATCTGCTCCATTCATCTTTATAGTTATACAGCCCTTGTGGTGATTGAGTTCAGACTTTATATTGAGTATTAGTGGCCAATCGCTGGACGTGACAAAGTAACAAGCACAGGCATCAAGACAATTATAAAACTCCTTCCCAGGTGTTGACTTGCTCTGAATTCAGTGCACCGCTATAATTTCTTCATGTAGAGCCGATGCTCTATCTTAATGTCTTGTTAAAGAGGCCACACAGAAACACACCATACAAGTGAGAGGCACTGTTCCATATTCATTTTTGTTGTGTGGTCAAACGTAGCTGTGCCTCAGGAGAAAATGTAAGAAAAAAAAATGAATAAAAAATCAAAGCGCAAACTATAATATGATCTTTTATTCTAGCAGTGACGTAGACTTGCTTCACACAAACATAAACCTAAATGTGTGATCTGGTGACATTCACAGAAGCAGAGTTTTTTAAGGCTCTTATGTTGTACTTGTAGCAGCTAGACTCAGACTTTTAGAGACATAACAACCTTCCTGCACTGCCAATAATCAGCGAGCCAATGGTTAACAGTGTTGTGTTAATATAGTTAATGTGCAAATACAGAATGGTTCAAGCTTCCCCGACGGGTTTGAACTATTCCTTTTAAAACAGGATGTGTGTACTTCGACTTTGTGTCTGAATTAATGATGACTCATAAACTCTGTGTGGTCAGGGAAGGTTAAAGAGGTCAGTGCAAGTCTGTTTAATGTCAACATAGATAAGTAAATGATTACACAGTGATCTTGTGACTGTGCAATGTTCTGCACTGTACGGTTTGTTCATGTGTTGATGAATGAGTGACCCCAGCAGATGTTTTGACTAGATTGATCTAGTGATTAGTTTCTCAAGTCGTTGTTTGGTTTATGCGAAGAATTGAAAACAATGCTCATCACCGTAGTCTTGTTTTGTCCAAGAATAATCCGAGTATAATGAAATATGATGTCTCATTTGTTATATACACATAAGACGTGATGGAAACAGGGGTGTGTTGGGGGGGGCGACATAACAATCTGTCAAAGCAGCATGTAAGGACTGTTTTTAAAGGTGCTATATAACTAAAAGTATGATCGTTATATTCTTAATATTTCAGACACAAAGAATATGGTTCGCTCCTCCTGACTGCTGCAGTACTCGCACTAAGTGTTTTGGTCTGGTTTAGTTGGTAGCAGCAGCTTTAATCTTTTTTTTTTTTTAGGTCTAGACTTGAAGTATTAAAATCTGCTCACAAGCAAGTGTTGTGCACATAAAACCATAAAACCTATTGATTAACAATAGAAGTTGATCTTTCCCAGCAGACAAATGAAACATGTCTGAAACACTGTCTGTGTAGACCAGCCTAAAGAACTGTCAAAGGGAACTAACACTACTCTTTCAGCGGGACATTTATCACATTATTAGAAGAAAAATCGTCCTTTTTTTTTTTTTGTTTTGCGCACAATTTGTCAACAATGTGAACAACACATTTCCTAATAGAGCGATTTTAGAGTCTTGACCCACATCTCATTTCTCCACAGGTGCTGACCATTCTGCAGGAGGTGTTCCCAGCGGTGAAGGCCGCGGAGATGGCGGTGAAGCTCCGCCCCCTGTGGTGGGAGGGCTGGCAGACTCTGGGCCGCGCCCAACTCAACCTTGGAGAGGTGGAGCTGGTGAGTACGACTGGCAAGCCAAATTACGGCACAACCTGCTATCCAATACAGGCCTGTAAATAAACGAGTGAACCGTCACAGGAGGAGACAATAGAATCTGATAATCAAATTGTTTATTCTTTGCGGATGACTTCATGTTCGAGATGGCTGACACTGTGCTTCCTGTAGAGATTTAAACTGAATGTATTGCTTAAGTGGAGTCAAATGGGGGCCATTCTTCCAGTGCAAACACACAAAAAACATGCGTTGCATAACTGACACTAGCGTCTTGCTCAGTCAATCGCCAATGATCTTCATCCTGTTCACTTTTTGCAATGAGCTTAACTTCATATTTATCATTTGCTTTGTCCTCGTTTTTGAAGGTGTGAAAAGGGGTGACAGTTATTAATGTTTACTACTTTTTGAGAAGTACCTTTCTCTAAGAAGAAGTTCCTCTTTCAAAGCACGCCCAGACGCCTCCGGCTTGCAAGATTGCTTAAAATTGCCCCAGATCATGCCAGGACCTGTGGCTGTATGAAACCTGTAGCTCATAGTTATTATATGCTATTGGCCCATTTGGAGACAAGCAAGCAAAAAAAGGGGGATGAACTTTAAAAAAAACAAAAAAAAAAAACCTTCAGCTAATGGCACCGCTTGTCTCTCCATGAGTGACAGACCTGTCTTGCGGCACAAAAACAACAATGGGAAGTGTTGAAAGTCGGTCGGGCACAAACTAAAACCAAATATAGACACACCTCTTTGTATAATGAATCTATTGGGAAGGAAGAGAGGGAGGAAAAAAACGCAAAACTATTTTTAGCGAGACTTGTTGTGTCAAGTTAAGGAGCTTTGTGTGCATCAACTTGTTTGAGTAAAGCCTGTTTGTGCAAATGTGAGTGCAGATTTCCTATTTTCTCCCTCATGAACCCTCTTTTCTTTCGTTTCTATGCCTCACTCTCTCCTTATGAAGAAAGGACTTACATTACACAAACACATTTTTCAGATCTTGTTTTACTTTTGTATTATTTTGAGTGTTTTAAAGACACAAGACGTAGACCTCTGCAGCATGGCAGCTCGGTTGCCATTAATCTTCCCATTATTATCATTAACGTCTCTTTTTTGGCTGTAGTTTTCCACGAGAAGCCGGTTTATCTGCCGGCTGTGGCATTTTTCCCTTTGAAGGATTGCTTTCAAAATAAAGAAGGAGTCGGTGAGACTCAAGATGAAACTTGATATACTGCGTTGGATTCAGACGGTTTCATTTCATGAAAGAAGCCTTACAATGAACCTGGCAGGCTTTTCTTTTTTCAGGCGAACTCCACAGTGCAGGTTATTTAAGAACAGGTTGTAATCAATATTCGGATGTGACATTACCATGAAGAGCCTGATAAGAAAGCTCATAGAAACCATTTTCCGATTAAGATATACCCGTTTAATTATACACTGATCCGATTCCCTTTAAATGGACCACACACCAAACTACCCATTGAGAATCATCTTATTCTTGTTGGGAGCAAGATGAAATTGTTCAGCTTGTGCTGGGAAACCTGAGCTTGAGTATGTTCTTCTGCTCATTAAATGCTCGATGTTTGGTGAATCAGTGGCACTTCTCCGTCTTGTCTTTTTACCACACTTCCGACCAACATTAGATCCAATTTTCATAACAGGTGTGGCTCTGTCTGACTGGAAACAGGTGCAACTGAAAGGTGAGCTTCACTCATAAGCATGTGATCTCATCAGAGATGTGCCATGCACAAAAGAGATGACAGATGTAGTCGTACTCTAAACATTTCATCTTTCATTTCCAGTCAGACTTTTAGTGGAGCGGTTACAATTACAATAAAGCTTTGCTGCCTTTTCCCACCTCGGCCTGTTTCAAACAGAGTGTACAACATATATGCAACATAAATTGAATGTCCATCCTTTATCTTCACCGCTTTTCCTGTTCGGATGGGGGGCATTGTGCCCATCTATCATTGGCCGAGAGGCGGGGTTACACCCTGGACTGTTTTCGCCAGTCAGTCACAGGACTGACATGTAGAGACAGACAACCAGGCACACTCAACATCAAATTTAGAGTCACCAATTGACCTAACATGCTGCATGTCTTTGGACGGTGGGAGGAAGCCAGAGAACCCTGAGAGAACCCAGGCATGCACAGGGTGAAAAACTTTCATGATGATGGTTAGCGCTCCAGATGGTTCAAGTGTACACTTGCAATGCAATTGTGTTCATTTCAACATGTTTTTTTTTACCAAGTGGGTACTGCAAGATAACTAGAGAAATATATTTGGTTTTAGGTTTAGTGGTCACATTTTGGTATACAAAATTGCTTCAATAAATTTAACATAAGGCCGACATAAGCCATAAGCCCAGTCACTTCCTCCCAGTGACGCACTTAGCTTTTTCATTTAAAAGTATTGAATAAATTGTTTTGGTGAATCCATAGCTGGAGACAGATTTATTTTTACCATTTCCCTGGCAGCAAATGGGAACAGGCTGAGGGTGACATCAGCATCCATGAAGAGCTGCCGACTGCCTGTATTTCTGTTTAATAGAACAATAATTTCCTATTGATCTACCACTTCACAGTCAGCTCAGAGATATTGATGTCTTTTTAATGAAACCATAAATTTGGATGCAGTACAGCCCCAAGAATGCCAAGGTTTAGCAAAAAAAATAAATCTTTTCGTTTCTCATACCCAACCCTGGACGCTCTGGTTTTAATCGTGCTCTACTGTCCCTGTAGGCTGTTAAGTCCTTCCAGGTTGCAATCCACCTGTGTCCATCAGAGCCAACGCTGTGGCAGGAAGACCTGGCCTGGGCATGGAGGTTACAGAAGCAGCACTTAGCAACGAAGGAGAAACTGCGTCAAGAGGAGGAGACCAAACAGCAGATCCTTCATGCCCCTGAGCTTGAGCAGGACTTCGACTTTGAGTCAGATGAGGTTCTGGCTGCGTGTGAGGCTGTTGCTGAGCGACAGACACGTTATGAGGAGCTGAAGCGGACCGCCGTGGTCATAGACTCTGAGGGAAATATAAAAAATGTTCTTGCCGGAGAAGGGGGATCTGAGGACCCAGAGACCCCCACAGAGGAACAGTTTGTCAAAGCGAGAGGACTTTGAACTGGTCTTGGATTTGTATGGATTGTGTTGATTACACTTTTCAAGTCTGGATTGTGTTACTTTAGAAACCACCAAGGATTAAAAACAATCACATCCAGAAGCAGACATGAGAACTGAAGCAAAACATGTGATTTGAGTGCAACTGAATAAAAGACTATTTAGTTTCAATAACTTTTTTTGTGTTTTCCCATCCTTTATAAAAATCAATTACTTTAATGACATTATTTGGATGAATTTTGAGAACAGACTTTACCAATCGGGATGATACTCGAGCAAAACCAGCCAGATCATATGATGAATCCATTCTGGGTTTTAAAGTTTAGCACATAAATCACATGAAATGCTCACAGATGGCGGATACAAAAGAAAACACGCTGTGATATTTAAGCTATAGAGTGCTTTTTGTTTTTCTTTTGAACAACACAACAGTAGTTTAACCTCATTATGTCCAAAACAGTCAAATGTGTATCAACCAATAATACAAAAGGTCTTGCTGGATTTGAAGACAAAGGCGTAGACACGCTGCTGGGTCTTTGTAGTAACCACATATGGTTGCTCTTTAGATACTTTTAAGTTTGCTTCATCCATCTTGCGAAGGGATAATGATGAATTGCATTGCATCAAAAAATGCTAACTGCAACTGTGCTTCAAAAAAAAAAAAAAAAGACACTCTGTAGGATCTGACCTGTATTTAACATTTGGAAATAGTCGACATGTTGTGACTAGATGAGGTCTTCATCAGGGCCATTTGTCAGCAGTGACATGTTGAGTTGCAATAATCAGTTGAGCGGAGGGTTCATACCTTAAATGTTCGAGCCAATTGGTTTAAAATAAAATAAAAAAGAATCTAAAGGGAATTGGAAGAGGGAAAATGTGTCTAAAGAGGGAAACAAACCTACAATAAATATATATATTTTTATGAATGTAACCAATGTAGTTATCCCTTTTCAAGGTGAATTAAATAAAAAAAATGTGCTGGTGATTGTTTTTTCTCGTGATTTAGCGTTTGTGTTATATTTTGCATATTTGTGTGTGTGTGTGTGTGTACTGTCCTTTATTTTAATGGAAATATACATGATGTAATTTCATGTATTTTATGTCCTTTATTACAGGACACTACAAAGACATAAGTACTATTCTATATGTGTATTTCTTTTTTGCAGCATTGGTATAATGTCAATGTGATGGGATAGAGACTAGAGAGTCATTTTCTTACTCACTTCTCAAGCATCACTGTAAGTGGGTCTAAGCTTTGTGGACCGCATCAAGATGGAATTCTGTTTCTATAAATGGGCCACAGAAAGTCCCAGGATCATGTAGGATCTGGGTCAGTTATGAAGACTTGAATGCGGACATAAATTGTATGTATTTCTGTTATTAGTCGGCACTTTCCTAGGACGCCATGTAAATATGATACTGTGGTTAGGGATCTTAAGTAAATATGGGAAAAAAAAAAAAAGAAAGAGCACAGCATTTTTTCTAATGGCCCGTTTTCTTTGTAGTATTTACAAGTACCAGCTGATTTTAAATGTGGTCGACGTGTCGAAGACAAAGAGAACAAGTGTCTTACAAATAGATTTTCATCAAAAAGCAAATATTTGAAAACAAAGAGGAACGTGATTACTTAGGGCGGCGCCCCCCCTCGCCTGTGACACTCCCCAAATCATCGCTACTGCAGCTGTTGATTTTAGACGTTTCATAATCAGATCAGAGCGAGGTCGCCTGTGTGGATTCAGGGTGTGCCAACTGACATTAGGTTAAATACACATTTGAATGGATGCTCCAGCTGCTGGTTAGTCAGTTTCTTTGTTGACACTGTTTTATAAGGAACCAAATCCCAGTCAAATCTATGACAAGTGTATTTAACACTTAAAGGAATAAAAACAACGGTTACTTTATTTTTCTAACTTGTCTATCTTTCTTTTTTTTTCTGCCATATTTTATCTTCTATACAGCTCCTAGTGGTAATAACACATACATCCATACATGCTGCTATCATTTATTATAAAACTGTTCCGACAAAGAAATTGGACTTGACAAGAGGCATTCCATGAATGCTAATAAAAACCTTGGGGTTTGCCTGCGACCAAATCCCAGCAATGCTGATATCATCAGCACTCCCTTGTGTGCTATAGTGCTTAAACATTCTTAATTTCCTGGAATTCCCTATTGCTCTCTGCTCCAATTATGAACACCCTGCTTTTTAAGCATAGCTGATTGTTTTCACAGGCGTGTCATGCTGGGGTTAAATGTCACAGATGCTGTACTCTTTAACTGGTGTGAGATGATGAGGTCAGGAAAGACAGGACACGGTTCCAATCTTTTTTTTTTTTTTTTCCCCTTCACCCTCTGTTAAAATCCTATCAAAGCTGTGTTGTCAATCACCATTCCTTCCTCCCGAGGGTTTTTTCGAAGCTTTAACAGATTCTTTAGTCTGAGGTCAGAGCTCTCTTTGATGGCAAAGAACGGGAACGGATTGTTAGTGATCCCGGAAGGCTCTGGATCGCGGCCACGTTGGACCTGGAAGTCTTCAGGGGTGAAGAAAGCATCGGTGTGGTGAGTGTGACTTGACACGTGATCTGCTGTTGGGTCAGAAATGTGTTGAATGCATCAGAGGAGAATAAGCTGAGCATTATTTCCTCATTTGCTGAATCAGACTGTCACTGATATGCTGGTTAAGATCAATATTATTGAAGAGCTTTTGATTCAATTTCAGGATCAGGCTTTCATCTGATCGACCTCTCTGTGGATGGACGTCTGTTTTTACGTACAAATAAATCAAAGGGTTGATACTCTGATTTTCAGGATTAGCTGCATTTGTTTTGCACATAACTCCATCAAGCAGCATACATGCAATTTAATTTGTTTAAAAAGTGATTCATAGACTTTTTGGCAAAAAATAAAAATCTTCCAGGCTCACCTATACTGAAAACAGCTCCACGACCCACTTTTGGGTCCCTACCCACTGGTTGAGAACCACTGCACTAATACTCACATTTAAGAGGCTGAAACTCTTCATTTATGACATTTCTGTCACGCTCCAAAAACAAAAATTAAAATCACAATATTTGACGATTCATTTTCTGTCCATCCCACCTCTTTATGAACTAATCATTTCAGCTCTAATTATAAAGCTGGTTATTCTGGTTTCCTTGGCAACACACTGCATAGTTTTCTATCCCTGCTTAACATCGTGCATATAGTTTATAATACGTACTTCACCGTCACTCTAACCACTGAATATTGCAAAAAGAATGACACAAACTAACACATTAATATGAATTTTCACCAACTTTAATGTTCAGTTTTCAGATGAATTTTGGTACAATAATAGTCACAATAGTGCACAGATGTTTTAATTAATGTAACACCAGTTATTGCTACAGCACAGTAAAATACATTATATGTCATGTCCATCTTTATAGCAATAGTAGTATTAATGGAGTGTTGACCAGGACATCTTTGATACAACTTTACACTGTAGCTCATTTTAATTCACCTGTTTAACTGCACTATTCATTCTGATTACATAAGAGGAATGTAAAATGAGCTGTTGGATTAACCCTTAACTAGTAATGGCCAGAAAAGATCAGTTGAACACTTTAGTGTTAACACAATACTCTGGGATATCCTCCAGTCTCTGTATTGTGAAAAAGCCAAAGTATAGCTGCCTCTTATTTTGAAATGCAGGGGATGGCATGACTCTAGCTTTGATGCCAGAGCTGCTCTGTGAACTAGTTTGACCCTAATTAGTTACAAATGTTTCTTTGTACCGAAAAACAAACGAACAACTAAAAGAGAACACTATAAACATATTCATCTTGTACCAATTGAAAATGGCTCCACACTATCTGGACTTTCTCACAGAGAAGATATTAGAATAAATTAACATCATGCTTCACATTTTAGGAAGAATTCTTTACAGTCAGACGCGCAGTTGTCAAAGGGCTACGATAGAAACATTGCGGACAATCTAGCAGTGGTTTTAGAATTCAAAAAAGTGCAAGATAAAGGCTCATCTACAACATCATATTGTTTTGTGTTGTTTTTTTTAAAGTTGTGATTGTGAGATATTTTACAGATGTGGTTTTTGTGGTTAGTGATTATGGAGGAGTAACACATTGTAAATGCTTATGGTCAGCCGTCCAATAGATATCCACAAATGGATAAGTATTCAGTCTTTAGACTCTTGTCCTTTAGTCTCATGTCTTTGCAGTTTGATCATTAGTTCCTATTAGTCAGCAGAAAATGCAAACTGTTATATACATTTCTCCAGTGTGTTTGCAGTCTCGTCTGTAAAGGTCACGTGCAAAGCTGGGTCCTTGTTGCACACTGGAAGCTCTTCAAGTGTCCTTCCTGGTTTTGTGTCCTCTAAATCACTCTGCAAAAGCCCCATCTGAGGTTCTTCAACCCTCGGGCTGCCCTGTAATGTCTGTGCATCCCGTTCCCCCGCTTGAAAGGACCCCAGACGCCCGGAGATGTTTCCCTCGGACGGGTACAGGAGAGTCTGCGATGTGTGCACTATTTCCTGCATTTCACGTGAAACCAGGGATGGAGATTCCCTGGAGACGATGGAGGAGGAGAAGCGTCGGTCGGCGCAGCGGAACTGCCCGCCGTTCCTTCCACCTCGCCCTCCCATTTTGCAGAACAGACACTTAATTTTTTCCATCAACTTGAGGACAACTGTCTTTCTGAGCAGGATGTAGATCCAAGGGTCCAAGATGGGGTTGACGGAGGCCATGCGGATAGCCAGCAGGTCTTTGTTCAACCCATTAGGCTCTTCTTTCTGGTTTGTGTACAGCTGATTCACAAAGATCCTCAACTGTAAGATAGAAACAGACACATTTAGGAACAATGGTGCACAAGTAACTTGTCACATAGAGGAGCATGGAACAACATTTTCAAATGTAGAGACAATTCCAGAAAGTGTTTATTACATGCCCAAACATGTCTACATTCATTTTACAAGAGAAGGATAATGTTTATTCTCCAGTCTTAAAAAGGGGCTTGGCTCAATATAACTTCTGTGCAACCACAGCGGTGTAGGAATGGCTAAAAGCCTAAAAAAACAGTCCCGTTCATGATCATTCATCATAAGAGAGCCTTTGGCCATTGGGTTTCCCCATAGTTTAATCAACAGTCATCTCTTCACACAGCCAGAGTCGCAAATAGAGTTTGACATTTGTCATCTAAAGAAGTGGTTAAACGGTAGTTTTACATTTTTCAAATCTGTCTCAAAATAATACATTTTGTACCAGCCATTTTCCTCATGCTTTTTGCG